CTCCCCCCTCCAACCCCGTCGGGGCCGCGCCCCCGCTTTTTGTCCCTTCCCAAAATCCCGGACGCGGAGCGACCCCAAAGCCGGGGGGTCCCCCCGGGGGTCCCCCCGAGCCGCCCCCGCGGACTTTGCCCGTCCGGGTCGGGGGCGAGGTCGCCATGCTGGGAAAAGCTTGGGAAGAGGGGATTTGGGAGCAAACCGGGAATTTTGAGGCTTTTTAAAATTTTTATTTTTTTCCCCCCTCCTCTCCATCTTCTTCCTCCCGGGTTCTTCCCCCGCGTCTGATTTTTTCTTCTTTTTCGCTACTCCCTCCTCAAAAAAAATAAAATTAAAATAAATTAAATTAAAGATCACGGAGTGACCCCGCAGCGAGGGAATCCCGCTCCATTTTCCGGGAGAAATCCATTCCTGTGGAATTCCCGAGCCTTTCGGTGGGAAAAGGGGAGGGAATTCGCTCCAAAAACTTTTCCTGGAGGGCTGAAAGAAAAGGGGGGAATTCTCCAAATCCACCCCCCAAAAAAAACCCCAAATCTCATCCCTGGAATCCTGGGCTGGAGCGAGGGATGAAATATTCCCAAGGAACAATTCCAGAGGCACCACTCCCCCCTGGAAGCTCGCATTCCATAAAAACCCCCTTGTGAGGAGCCGGGGGGGCTGGATTTGGGTGGAATTCGGGTGAATTTGGGATGAATTCCGCGGGGAAATTCCCGTTTTTTGAAAATTCCACCCTTTATCCCGAGTTTTTCCTCCCGGATTTTCCATGTTTTCCATGTTTTTAGGGAAAGTGGAGCTCCACGGGAAGCAGCTGGAGATCGAACACTCGGTGCCCAAAAAGCAAAGGTAAAGGTGGAGTTTTCATTGATTTTTAATTGGTTTTTAATTGGTTTTTAATCGTTACCGTCGGAATTATTAATTGGTGTTGGCGAGGGGAAAATAGGAGAGGAAAAAGGCAAAAATTTCCACGGAAAAATGTGAAAAATGAAGAAGTGTCGGAGGTTTTGGGCTGGGATTTACCCCCAGAAAAGCTGAATTTAATTAATTCATTAAACATTCCGTGAATTCATTGATTTTTTTCCTTTCAAAGAAAACTCAATCTGCGAGTTTTCATTAAAATAAAAAGGGGAGGAAAAAGGTGAAATAAATAATTCTCCACGTGCTGCCCGAGGTGATGGATGGCTTTGGGCTGGGATTTCCAAACTTGTGGAAGAATTTCCCGGCTCCTTTTGGAGCCTGGGCTGGGAAATGAGGGCAAATCCTTTCTTTTGGGAGAAGGGAAAATTAAAAAAAAAATTAAAAATTAATATTTTTTAAAAAATCCGATAAAAAAAAGTGAATTTTGCTAGGAAAAAAAAAAAAAAAAAAAAAAGAACAAAACCAGCACGTGGCCGCTGAGGGCGGGCAGCGATGAAATCCTGCCTGAATTCCGGGGATTTTGGGGTGAAAAGCGGCGCTTTTGGGGTTTCCCAGGATCTGCCTCTCCCGCCCATCCCTCTCCATCTTCCCCGGCCTTTGTTGTTCCCGGCTGGAGCCGGGAGCGCTCTGGAAAATCCTCCCCGCGCTCCGAATTCCCGGAAAATCCCTCCAGTCCCGGCCGCATTTGGGGTTTTTTCCCAGAAATTCTCCCTTTTTCCCCTCGGATTTTCGCCCCCCGATCCGGCGGAATTCCCGGAATTCCCGATCCCAAAGATTCCACGTTGGATCCAAATCCATCGCCACGTGACGGAGGCGCCTTTTCCAAAGGGGAAAAAGAGGGGAGGGAGCGACGCCGGCGCTTCCCGGCCCCAAATTCCCAAAATCCCAGCGCAAAACTCCCAAAATCCCAGCCAGGAGCATCCCAAAATCGCAGTCCCAAATTCCCAAAATCCCAACCCTAAACTCCCCAAAATCCGGGCCCCAGATTCCCAAAATCCCGGCCCCCAAATTCCCAGAATCTCAGCCCCAAATTCCCAAATCCCAACCCTAAACGCCCCAAAATCCTGGCCCCAGATTCCCAAAATCCCGGCCCCCAAATTCCCAGAATCTCAGCCCCAAATTCCCAAATCCCAACCCTAAACTCCCCAAAATCCTGGCCCCAAATTCCCCAAAATTCCAACCCTAAACATCCCAAAATCCTGGCTCCAAATTCCCAAAATTCCAACCCTCAACGTCCCAAACTCCCAGCCCCAAACTCCCCCAAATCTCAAGCTCCCCTAAACTCCCCAAAATCCTGGCCCCAAATTCCCCAGAATTCCAACCCTAAACGTCCCAAACTCCCAGCCCGAAACTCCCCCAAATCCCAAGCTCAAACTTTCCCAAACTTCCCAAAATCCCAGCCCGAAATTCCCCAAAATCCTGGCCCCAGATTCCCAAAATCCCTGCCCTAAACTTCCCAAAATCCCAAGCCCAAATCTCCTCAAATCCCTCCTTTTCCCGACCCCTCCCTGCCCCCTTTTGGGATCGCCCCCTTTGGCCTCCCCTCAAAATCCCAAAACCTGGGAGGGCGCTGATCCCAAAAAGGGCGATCCCAAATCCAGCCGGGAATTCCCCAGCCCCGTTTTCCCGGATTTTTTGGGTGATAATTCTAATTTTTATTAATTTTTCCCCCCCTCCCTCGTGGTTTTTGTTGCTGTGGCTTCGGTGTCCAGGGATGGGGGGGGGGAATATTGGGATGGAATTCCATGAAAAGTTCAAAATATCCCTTAAAAAAAGCCTGGAAAATCCTATTTCCCACCCCCCAATTTTGGGGGAGGGAGGAGCAGATTTCCCCCCCCCCCCTGAAAAAAAATTCCCTAAAAAATGAGAAAATTCCTTTGGGATCTGGGATTTAAAATTCTGGGAAAAAGGGGAAAAAAAAATCCTTTAAAATATTTTGGGATTTGGATTTGTTTTCCTCCTGAGAGTCCCTAAAAACGCTTGGATTGGGCTGGAAAATCCCTTTTTTTGGGGGGTTTTTTGGGTTATTTTGGGGTTAAAATCCGGCCCCCTCCCCCCTCCGGGGCTGCTCTTAAAGGGCCAGCGCCGCTTTTCCCTCTTCGCCCTCCTGGGAGATTTTGGGGGAATTTTGGGGGATTTTGGGAGCGTCCCGGACACTCTGGGGAGGGATTTGGTGATTTTGGGTGTGGAAAAAGCGATTTTGGGGCATTTCCCTTGACCTGGGGAGGGTTGGGATCTGGGAATGGAATTTTTGGGGTGATTTTGGGTGTGGAAAAAGCGATTTTGGGGCATTCCCCTGGACCTGGAGATGTTTGAGATCTGTAAATGGAATTTTTGGGGGGAATTTGGGGGATTTTGGGTGTGGAAAAAGCGATTTTGGGGCATTCCCCTTGACCTGGAGATGTCTGGGATCTGTAAATGGAATTTTTGGGGGGATTTTGGGTGTGGAAAAAGCGATTTTGGGGCATTCCCCATGACCTGGGGAGACTTGGGAGCTGTAAAAGGAATTTTTGGGGGGAATTTGGAGGATTTTGGGTGTGGAAAAAGCGATTTTGGGGCATTTCCCTTGACCTGGAGATGTTTGGGATCTGTAAATGGAATTTTTGGGGGGATTTTGGGTGTGGAAAAAGCGATTTTGGGGCATTCCCCTGGACCTGGAGATGTTTGAGATCTGTAAATGGAATTTTTGGGGGGAATTTGGGGGATTTTGGGTGTGGAAAAAGCGATTTTGGGGCATTCCCCATGACCTGGGGAGACTTGGGAGCTGTAAAAGGAATTTTTGGGGGGAATTTGGAGGATTTTGGGTGTGGAAAAAGCGATTTTGGGGCATTTCCCTTGACCTGGAGATGTTTGGGATCTGTAAGTGGAATTTTTGGGGGGAATTTGGGGGATTTTGGCTGCTCCAAACCCGGGGAAAGAAGGAGACGCTGCCCTAAAAACGAATTTTTTGGGAATTTTTTTGGGGGCAGTTTTTTCTGGTTTTTTTTTTTTTTTTTTTTTGAACCATCCTTTGAGTTTTCCAGGCTGGAATTCCCAGTTTGGAGGGCGGGGAGCAGGAAAGGGTTAATGAGGGGAGAATTTCGGGATCCAAAGTGAAATTCCTCCCCTTTCCCCTCCCCCAAAACCTGAAATTCTCTTTTTTTTTTTTCTTTTTGATCCCTTTAAAAATGTGGGAAAACGAGTCGGGAGCGGGGGTTGCCCTTCCCACTTAATTTATTTTTAACCAAAAACATCCAAAAAAACCCCAAAAAATCATTTTTTTTCTTCAGGTTAAAGCAGAAATAACGACGTAAAAAAAACTTAATTTGGGTGGTTTTAATTCATTAACGCCAAAAAACCCCAAGGAATTCTTTCCTCTTCGTTCATCCCAAATTTTTTCAAACCTCTCCTAAACAAAACGCTCAAAAATTGTTTTTTAAACCCCAAAATGGGTTAAAATAACACCAAAAAAAAGGATTTGGGGCGTGCGGCTCCAAGAGGAATAAATTGATTTTTTTTGGGATTAATTCTTGGGATTCTCCCAATTCTTTTCATTATTTGGGGAATTATTGAAGCAGAGTTCCAGAAAAGTCTTAAATTGCGAAGAAATATTGATAAAAATTGGGATTTTATGAACAAAAAAAATGAGATTTTGGGTTAATTTGGGGTCATTTGGAGCATTTTGTTGGATTTTGGGAATTGTTTTGGGGAGAAACTCGAAATTTCCAACGCCAAAAATCTTCCTGGTTGGAGGCACCAGGGAAAATTTTAAATTTCATTTTAAATGGAATTATTTTTTAAGGGAGTAAAAATTCCGAATTTGGGGTTTTGGGGTTGGGATTTCGGGGTTGGGGGTGGATTTGGGATGGGTTTTAACCCAAAAAATGGGAATTTCAAGGGATTTTTCACCCCCAGCTCCCCCTGGGGTTCTGCTCAGGGCGTTAATTTTAATTCTAATTATAAAAACGAATATTTTAAATTATTTCAGTGGCATCAAAGTTCAGTTCAGGGCAGAAAAATGCTGGAAAAATCTGAAAATTCCCTTTTTTTTCCTCCAAATTTTTGGGAATTCCCATGAGAAAAATCCTCATTTTCCACGGGGGAAATCCTGGAATTAATTGTTCCCAAGGAAAAATATCCAAATCCAGCTTGAGCTTCCTTTTTTAGTCACTTTTCAACCCAAAATTTGCTTTTTTTCACCCTTTTTGGGGTTGGATTTGCTGGAAATGGGATGAAAAATTAACCAAAAAAATCCCAAAAATGAACCAAAAAAAAGGAAAATTCTTCTCTGTGGAAAATGAAAACCCAGGTGGATTTTAGGGCTAAAATTCTGCTTTTAATCCAATTTTAAAATCTTGATTTTTCCATTGAAACGAGGCCGGGTTGGGAGTTTAAATAAAAAATAACAACAAAAAAAGCCGGAAAATTGAAATTTTGAGGAGCAAAAAAGGGAAAAAAATTAAAATTTAAAATTCTTTTATTCCTTTGGGCTCCCAGTTTCCGGCTGCTCCCAAATTTCCACTTCTGGAAACCAAAACAAAATTGGAAATTCGGAGGTTTTTGAGGATTTTTAGCCCAAAAAAGTAAAAAAATTCAACAAATCTTCAATGATTTCTCCCTAAATTTCACCCCCGAGTTGGAAACTGTGGGAATTCCGTCAAATTCCGGATCTCAGGGAGAGAAAATTCAATTTGGGAATGGCCAAAAGTGAGGAAAATTCCTTTATTTCCTTCTTTCCCCGTGGGGAATGTGGGAAAAACCTCCCAAAAAAAATGGGAATTTCAGGGAAAATTGGAAAATTTGAAGCCAGGGGGGAGGAATTTGGGTGAGAAAAGGAGAAATAATCGAATTTCTGGAATTGCAGCGGGAATTTCCGGGGTTGATCCCGGTTTTCCAAGGGGATTTCTGTCGGAATTTGGGTTCAAGCTCAGACAAACAAATCCAGGGAGGGAATGGGGGGAAAATTCCTGCTTTGGAAATTGGGAATTTTGGGATTTAAATGAAAGATTCCCAAAAAAAAAAAGGGAATTTCTGCCCCTTCCAGCCCCAATTCCCGGCCGTGCTGAAGCTTCCAGGGCTTTTCCCAGGAATTTTGGGGAGAATTCCGGTTGGATCAGGGATCCCCGCTCCTTTTCCAGCTTTTTTTGGGTTTTCCCTGATTTTTTCCTGGGGGTTTTCCTCCTCTTTTCCAGGTTTGCTGGATTTGGGAGTGGGGGTGCCTCTGGGATTTGGGAATTTTCCGCCTTTTTTTAGGGATTCCACTGATTTCAAGGAATTCTTTTTATGGAGAAATGGAGAAATTCCTGGTGTCCCATTTCCATCAGGAATTCCTGGTGTCCCATTCCCGTTTGGAACAGGGAATTCCTGGAGTCCCGTTCCTGTCAGGAATTCCTGGTGTCCTGTTCTTGTCAGGAATTCCGGATTTCCTGTTCCCATCGGGAATTCCTGGTGTCCCATTCCCGTCAGGAATTCCTGGTGTCCCATTCCCGTTCCTGTTGGGAACAAGGAATTCCTGGTGTCCTTTCCCCTTCCCACTGGGAATTCCTGGTGTCCCATTCCTGTCAGGAATTCCTGATTTCCCCTTCCCACTGGGAATTCCTGGTGTCCCATTCCTGTCAGGAATTCCTGATTTCCCGTTCCCACTGGGAATTCCTGGTGTCCTGTTCCTGTTGGAAACAGGGAATTCCTGGTGTCTTTTCCCATCCAGCTTGAGGGATCCCGAACTCCCGGAGCCGCCACCTGCCGGGGGTGGGGAAGAGGGGCTGGAATTTGGGATTTTCCCTTCCCTCCAGGGCTGTCCATCCCTATCCCAAACATTCCTTGGAATTCCTGGATGTCCCACCCAGCTGGGATCTCCCGAGGGGATTTGGATAAATATCAACATGGGAATTTCTGGGATTTGTGTTTTCTTTCCCAGGAGTGCATCCAGGGGAATTTTGGGATCTTCCCGTGGTTCCTGTTCCCATAAAAATCTCCCCAAAATCGACCGGAGGAGCCCCAAATCCCCCGGAGCGGATTGGGATTCCTGAGCAGGAAAATCCCGGTGGATCTGATGGAATTTTGATGGAATTTTGATGGAATTGTTCCGGCTGTGCAGGGGTTGGGATTCGGGAACAGCCGAATTCGGGAGCAGCTGGAGGGGTTGGGAGCCATGCCCGGAAAAAACGTGGATTTGGGAATGCTCCTCATCCCTCCCTGCTCCCTTTGGGCTTCCCGGTCCTTCCCAAATCTGGGAAAAGCCAAATCCACCCCGGGAATCCGAGCAGTGCCAGAGGGATTCTGGAATTCTGCTCCTGATGGGATTCTGGAATTCTGCTCCTGATGGGATTCTGGAATTTCCCTCCCAGAGGGATTCTGGAATTCTGCTGCCAGAGGAATTCTGGAATTTAACTCCTGGAGGAATTCTGGAATTCTGCTGCCAGAGGAATTCTGGAATTTCACTCCTGGAGGAATTCTGGAATTCTGCTGCCAGAGGAATTCTGGAATTCCACTCCCAGCAGGATTCTGGAATTTCACTTCCAGCAGGATTCTGGAATGTTGTTCCCAAAGGAATTCTGGAATTCTACTCAGGAATTCTGGAATTCCACTCCCAGCAGGATTCTGGAATGTCCCTCCCAGAGGAATTCTGGAATTCTGCTTCTGAAGGGATTCTGGAATTCCGCTCCCAGCAGGATTCTGGAATTCCGCTCCCGATGCAATTCCAGCCGCACAACGAGCTGGGATCCGCCAGGACTCCCTGGGAACACCTGGAATTTTAGGGCTCGCTCGGATCCGTGGATTGCCCCAGCCCAAATCCCGCTTTTTTCTCCTTGCAGGAGCCGGAAGATCCAGATCCGGAACATTCCGCCGCAGCTGCGATGGGAGGTGAGGGCAGGGATCGCGCTCCGGGATTCCCTCGGGATCAAAGCTGGATTTTCCTCCTCTTTGTCATTAATTGGCTCTTAATTACCCCCGGACCGGCCCTGGAAATCCCGGGAAAGCGACACCGCCCGGAGCCCCCGCTGATTCCGCCATTCCCATTAATTCCCGTTAATTTGTGATTCCTCCATTGTAGCGGGAATAAAACGGATCCGCGCTTCCCGCTGGGAATTCCCGGCCTCTGCTTTCCCCTCCTGCTGGCTCCAGGCGGCCTGGAGCTTCCAGGCTTTAATTACTCGGGAATTCTTAATGATCCTGATGGAATTCTTAACGATCCTAATGACCCCCAGGTGTGGATGGGGCTTCCCGGGATATCCCGGCGTGAACTGGGATTGATTTTCCCCTTTTTTCCATTTTTCCCAGGTTTTGGACGGGCTGCTGGCCCAGTACGGCACCGTGGAGAGCTGTGAGCAGGGTAGGAGCAGGGGATTTGGGGAATTTCGTCCGGATTTGGGGAATTTCAACCGGATTTTGGGAATTTCTGCTCCTGAGAAGGAAACAAAGTCCAGATTTCAGGAATTTCTGCTCAGTTTCAGAGGGAGAAGGGAAAAAACCCTGGATTTCTGGAATTTCTGCCCCGTTTCAGCAGGAAGAGGGAATAAACCCCAGATTTTGGGAATTTAATCCGGATTTTGGGATTCTGCCCCGTTTCAGGGAAAGGGAGAAATAAAACCTGGATTTGGGAGATTTCTGTAGGGAATAAAACCTGGATTTGGGGGATTTCTGTAGGGAATAAAACCTGGATTTTGGGAATTCCTGGCCCCTTTTCAAGGGGGGAGGGAATAAAAACTGATCCCTGTCTCTTTTCCCCAATTCCCGGCTCCTTTTCCCCAATCCCCGCCTGCGTTCCCGAATTCCCGCAGTGAACACGGACAGCGAGACCGCCGTGGTGAACGTCACCTACGCCAACCGGGAGCAGACGCGGCAGTGAGTGCCCCGGGAATCCGGGAATTATTCCGGAATTCGGGAATTATTCTGGAATTCCACCCCTCTCTTCCCCACCTGTCGGAAAAGGGTTTCCTCATTTCCCCAAATTCCAAGATCCTGGCAAATCCTTGAGGACGCCCCTTAAATCCGATCGATTTTCCTTCACCTTTGGACAGAATTCCAAGTTTTTGGGGTTTTTTTTTGGCAGCACAGGGAGCGAAAGTTGAACTTTTTGCTGGAGCAAAAGTTGGGATTTCCTGGGGCTTCCATGATTTCGGGAATTCTGCCTCCTGAAAAATGGGGAGAAATATCCCGGAGCTGCCAGGGGGAGACCTGGAGACCATTCCCAGCTTTTCCCTTCGCCCAGCGGCGCTCCCTGCTCCCCTCACACCGGGGCAGTTTTGGGGGTTTTTGGGGGAGTTCAGGGAGTTTTCGGTGCTGGATTCCCGGAGCTGGGAATGCGGGAAGGGAGCGGAGCCCAAATCCCTGCGCTCGCTGCCAGCCCCATCTATCGACAGCGGCCAGCGCTGCGCCCCGGGAGGCGCGTCTGGGATTTGGGAACACGAGGGGATTTGGGAACCCGCAGGGATTTGGGAACCCGTGGGGATTTGGGAATCCGTAGGGATTTGGGAACCCGCAGGGATTTGGGATCTTGTGGGGATTTGGGAACCCGTGGGGATTTGGGAACCCAACGGAATTTGGGAATCCACAGGGATTTGGGATCTTGTGGGGATTTGGGAGCCTGTGGGGATTTGGGATCTCATGGGGATTTGGGAACCCAACGGAATTTGGGAATCCGCAGGGATTTGGGATCTTGTGGGGATTTGGGAAACTGCAGGGATTTGGGTACCTGCGGGGATTTGGGATCCTGTGGGGATTTGGGAACCTGCGGGGATTTGGGAATCCAAGGGAATTTGGGAATCCACAGGGATTTGGGATCTCGTGGGGATTTGGGATCTCGTGGGGATTTGGGAACCCGCGGGGATTTGCCCACTCCATCCCACAGGAGGGAGGGGAGACTTCTGGCAATTCCCGCTGGGTTGGTGCCGTTCCTTTCCCCTCTTCCCTCAAAACCCATCCTGTGGCAAACCCAGCTCTTTTGGGGCTGCCCCAAACAATCCAAAAACCCCATTCTGTGACAACCCCAGCTCTTTTGGGGCTGCCCTGCTCCCAGCCACCCCAAAAAACCCATCCTGTGTCAAACCTGGCTTTTTTGGGGCTGCACCCCCGTCTCTTTTGGGGCTGTCCTCCTCCCAGCACCCCAAAAACCCCATCCTACAGCACCCCCGTCTCTTTTGAGGCTGCCCCAAACACCCCAAAACCCCCATCCTGTGACACCCCCGTCTCTTTTGGGGCTGTCCCCCTCCCAGCGCGCCGTCCCAGCCGCGTTTCCCCCCAGGGCCATCCTGAAGCTGAACGGGCACCAGCTGGAGAGCCACGCGCTCAAGGTCTCCTACATCCCGGACGAGCAGCCCGAGAACGGGCGGCAACCCCTCCTTTCCCAGATCCCACAGTCCCTCCTTTTGGGTTTTGCCTCCTTTCCCAGGTCCCACCTGTTGGGTTTTTCCTCCTTTCTCAAGTTCCACAATCCCTCCTTTTGGGTTTTCCCTCCTTTCCCAGTTCCCATAATGCCTCATTTTGGGTTTTCCCTCCTTTTCCAGTTCCCATAATGCCTCCTTTTGGTTTTTCCCTCCTTTCCCCGTTCCCATAATGCCTCGTTTTGGGTTTTCTCTCCTTTCCCCGTTCCCATAATGCCTCCTTTTGGGTTTTCCCTCCTTTCCCATTCCCATAATGCCTCGTTTTGGGTTTTCCCTCCTTTCCCAGCTGCCCTAATCCCTCCTGTGGGGTTTTCCCCCGTCCCCATTCCCGTTCCCAGGGCTGACGAGGTCCCCCTGAAGATCCTGGCCCACAACAACTTTGTGGGGCGCCTGATCGGCAAAGAGGGCCGGAACCTCAAGAAGGTGGAGCAAGACACGGAGACCAAAATCACCATTTCCTCGTAAGGATCGGGGCAGGAGCTCCTCACGCTGGGCAGGAGGAGGAGGATGAGGAGGATGGGGACGGGGGGAGAGGTTTTAGTCCCCAAATTCTCCCGGGGATCCTTGGTGTTGGGTTTTCTGTGCTCCCCTTTCCCGTCCCCTTTGGGGTCCCTTCCCACCGCTCTGGGGTGCCCCGGGTGCGTCCCCGTGTCCCCACGGCCGCTGTCCCCAGGCTGCAGGAGCTGACCCTGTACAACCCCGAGCGCACCATCACGGTCAAGGGCTGTCCCGAGAGCTGCTGCCGCGCCGAGCAGGAGATCATGAAGAAAGTGCGCGAGGCCTACGAGAACGACGTGGCCGCCATGAGCGTGAGTGGGGCCGGCCTGCGGGGGATCCCCTAAACCGGGGGGATCCCATAATCCGGGGGGATCCCATAATCCGGGGGGATCCCCTAAACCGGGGGGATCCCATAAACCAGCGCCCCTCCCGTCCCCGGCGTGGTCCTGCCTCGTCCCCGATCCCATTCCTCCCCTCAGTTCAATCCCCTCATCCCAGATTTTGGTTCCCCTCACTTCAATCCCCTGACCCCACATTTTGGTTTCCCTCAATCCAAATCCCCTAACTCCATATTTTGGTCTCCTCAATTCAATCCAAATCCCCATATCCCATATTTTCGTTCTCTCAGTTCAATCCCAATCCCCTGACCCCATATTTTGGTTTCCCTCAGTTACAATCCCCCATATCCCATATTTTGGTTCAATCCCAATCCCATATCCCATATTTTTGTTCAATCCCAATCCCATATCCCATATTTTGGTTCAATCCCAATCCCATATCCCATATTTTGGTTCAATCCCAATCCCCAATCCCATATTTTGGTCCCCTCAGCTGCAGTCCCACCTCATTCCCGGGCTGAACCTGGCCGCCGTCGGGCTCTTCCCGGCCTCCTCCACGGCGGTGCCGCCGCCCCCGAGCGGCGTCTCCGGGGCCGCTCCCTACAGCTCCTTCCTGGTGAGTGACCCCGGTGCCAGGGGGGCGTCCCCATGGAGCCCCCGGGACGGGCAGTGACCCCCGGGACATTCCGATGGAAACCCTGGGATGGGCAGTGACCCTGGGGACATTCCGATGGAAACCCTGGGGTGGGCAGTGACCCTGGGGACATCCCCGGTGAGCCTCCGGGATGGGCAGTGACCCCCAGGAAGTTCCCATGGGACCCCCGGGATGGGCAGTGACCCCCAGGATGTTTCCATGGGACCCCCGGGATGGGCAGTGACCCCCGGCAGCGCCTGCTCCCAGCTCCAGGACATGACAGTGACCCCAAACAGTGACAGTGACCCCAAACAGTGACACTGATCCCAAAATGGTGACACTGATCCCAAAATGGTGACAGTGACCCCAAATATTGACAGTGACCCCAAAATGGTGACCCTGGCCCCAAAATGGTGACAGTGCCCCCAGAGGGTGACCCTGGCCCCAAAGGGTGACCCTGGCCCGCTCCCGTCCCGCAGCCCCCCGAGCAGGAGACCGTGCACGTGTTCATCCCGGCGCAGGCGGTCGGGGCCATCATCGGCAAGAAGGGCCAGCACATCAAGCAGCTCTCGCGCTTCGCCAGCGCCTCCATCAAGGTGGGCGTGGCCCTCGATGGCCCTTGGGTGGCCCTTGGGTGGCCCTTGGGTGGCCCTCGGTGGCCCTCGGTGGCCCTTGGGTGGCCCTCTGTCCCCAGCTGTCCTGGTTTTTCCGGGAAAAGCCCTGGGAAGCCCAGGGGGGGCTGTAGCGCCATGTCCGTCCCATGTCTGTCCCGTGTTTGGCCTGTGTCTGTCCCATGTCCATCCCATGTCCATCCCGTGTCCATCCCATGTCCATCCTGTGTCCATCCCATGTCCATCCATGTCCATCCCACGTCCATCCATGTCCATCCATTCCATCCATGTTCATCCATGTCCATCCATGTCCATCCTGTGTCCATCCATGTCCATCCATTCCATCCATGTTCATCCATGTCCATCCTGTGTCTATCCCATGTCCATCCACCCATTCCATCCCATGTCCATCCATGTCTATCCTGTGTCCATCCTGTGTCCATCCCATGCCCATCCATCCATATCCATCCATGTCCATCCCGTGTCCATCCATGTCCATCCATGTCCGTCCCGTGTCCATCCATGTCCATCCATGACTGTCCATGTCCGTTCCGTGTCCATCCATGTCCGTCCATGTCCGTCCCGTGTCCATCCCGTGTCCATCCCGTGTCCGTCCCGTTGCAGATCGCGCCCCCGGAGACGCCGGACTCCAAAGTGCGCATGGTGGTGATCACCGGCCCGCCCGAGGCGCAGTTCAAGGTTGTCACTGCTGTCACCTCCCTGGGGACGTCGGGGTGTCCCTGGGAGGGAGGGCAGGGGGGACCCAACCGGACGCCAGCCCACAGCTGGGGAATTCCAGGATTGGGTTTCCCAGGGGCCGAGTGGGTTTGGAATTCCAAAGAACAGGGATTTTATGGGATGCCAAATCCAGGGATGGAGTTTGGGGTGGGACATTCCCAACTCCCTGCTCCCAGGGGCCAAATGGGTTCAGAATTCCAACGAACCGGGATTTTACGGGATCCCAAATCCACGGATGGAGTTTGGGGTGGGACATTCCCAGCTCCCTGCTCCCAGGGGCTGAGCGGGTTCGGAATTCCAACAATCCATGGATAGAGTTTGGGGTGGGACATTCCCACCTCCCTGCTCCCAGGGGCTGAGAGCATTTAGAATTCCAATGAACCGGGATTTTACGGGATCCCAAATCCACGGATGGAGTTTGGGGTGGGACATTCCCAACTCCCTGCTCCCAGGAGCCAAACAGAATTCCAAAGAACTGGGATTTTATGGGATCCCAAACCCCAGGATGGAGTTCAGGATGGGACATTCCTGACTTTACCCCTCTTCAGATGCAGAGCAGGATTTATGGGAAACCCCATCCCAAACCCATGGACGGAGTTTGGGGTGGGACATTCCCAACTCCCTGCTCCCAGGGGCTGAACGGGTTTGGAATTCCAACGAACTGGGATTTTACGGGATCCCAAATCCATGGATAGAGTTTGGGGTGGGACATTCCCACCTCCCTGCTCCCAGGGGCTGAGAGCATTTAGAATTCCAATGAACTGGGATTTTACGGGATCCCAAATCCATGGATAGAGTTTGGGGTGGGACGTTCCCAACTCCCTGCTCCCAGGGGCCAAATGGGTTCAGAATTCCAACGAACCGGGATTTTACGGGATCCCAAATCCACGGATGGAGTTTGGGGTGGGACATTCCCGACTCCGTCCCTCTCCAGGCGCAGGGCAGGATTTACGGGAAGCTGAAGGAGGAGAACTTCTTCGGGCCCAAGGAGGAGGTGAAGCTGGAGACGCACATCCGCGTGCCGGCCTCGGCCGCCGGCCGCGTCATCGGCAAGGGCGGCAAGACCGTGAGTGGGAACGGGGACGGAATTCCCGGGAGGGCGGCCGGGACGCTCCGGAGGGTTCATCCCGGCGTGTCCCCGCAGGTGAACGAGCTGCAGAACCTGACGGCGGCCGAGGTGGTGGTGCCGCGGGAGCAGACCCCGGACGAGAACGAGCAGGTCATCGTCAAGATCATCGGGCACTTCTACGCCAGCCAGGTACGGCCGGGGTGATCCAGGGATATCCAAAAGTTCTCCAGAGGTTCTCCAGGGGTGCTCCAGGGGTTCTCCAGGGGTCCTCCAGGGGATCTCCAGAGGTTCTCCAGGGGTTTAAGGTTTTTCCAGAGTTTGTCCAGGGGTTCTCCAGAGGTTCTCCAGATGTCCTCCAGGACTTCCCCAGAGGTTGTCCAGGGGTTCTCCAAGGTTTTTCCACAGGTTGTCCGGGGGTTCTCCAAGGCTTTTCCATAGGTTGTCCATAGGTCCTCCAGGGGATGTCCAGAGGTTCTCCAGGGGTCCTCCAGGACTTCCCCAGAGGTTCTCCAGGTTTTTCCAGGGGTCCTCCAGAGGTTCTCCAGGACTTCTCCAGGGGTTCTCCAAGGTTTTTCCAGAGGTTGTCCAGGGGTTCTCCAGGGATGTGTTGCTCAGTCCGCACATTTTTGGTCTTCCTCCAGGACTTCCCCAGAGGTTGTCCAGGGGTTCTCCAAGGCTTTTCCAGGGGTTCTCCAGGGGTTCTTCAAGGCTTTTCCAGAGGTTGTCCAGAGGTCCTCCAGGGGATGTCCAGAGGTTCTCCAGAGGTTCTCCAGTGGTTTTCCAAGGTTTTTCCAGAGTTTGTCCAGGGGTTCTCCAGAGGTTCTCCAGATGTCCTCCAGGACTTCCCCAGAGGTTGTCCAGGGGTTCTCCAAGGTTTTTCCACAGGTTGTCCGGGGGTTCTCCAAGGCTTTTCCATAGGTTGTCCATAGGTCCTCCAGGGGATGTCCAGAGGTTCTCCAGGGGTCCTCCAGGACTTCCCCAGAGGTTGTCCAGGGGTTCTCCAAGGCTTTTCCAGGGGTTCTCCAGGGGTTCTTCAAGGCTTTTCCAGAGGTTGTCCAGAGGTCCTCCAGGGGATGTCCAGAGGTTCTCCAGAGGTTCTCCAGTGGTTTTCCAAGGTTTTTCCAGAGTTTGTCCAGGGGTTCTCCAGAGGTTCTCCAGATGTCCTCCAGGACTTCCCCAGAGGTTGTCCAGGGGTTCTCCAAGGTTTTTCCACAGGTTGTCCGGGGGTTCTCCAAGGCTTTTCCATAGGTTGTCCATAGGTCCTCCAGGGGATGTCCAGAGGTTCTCCAGGGGTCCTCCAGGACTTCCCCAGGGGTGCTCCAGGTTTTTCCAGGGGTCCTCCAGAGGTTCTCCAGGACTTCTCCAGGGGTTCTCCAAGGTTTTTCCAGAGGTTGTCCAGGGGTTCTCCAGGGGTGTGTTGCTCAGACACATTTTTGGTTGTTATCCCATGAATCCCATCCGTTATTCCCAGAAAAAACCACAGGAGAACCTTGGGACAGGAGCTGGCTTTGGGTGGAAATTCGCAATAAAAGGGGTTTCACGGGGAAGTTGGGATGGGGCTGGGAGCAGGCGGGGGTGGGATGGCAGCGTTCCATGAATCCCTGGCTGTCGTTCCCAGATGGCTCAGCGCAAGATCCGGGACATCCTGGCGCAGGTGAAGCAGCAGCACCAGAAGGGCCAGGGCGGCCAGAGCCAATCCCGGAGGAAATAGGGAGCCCAAATCCCGGGAGAACTAGGACACGGCACGGCCGGGCCGGGCTCCGAGTGCCTGGGAATCAGCAACCGCAGGGAGACGGGGATCGGGAATCCGCGGGGATCGGGAATCCGCAGGGATCGGGAACGGACAGGGATCGGGAATCTGCGGGGATCGGGAATCCACAGGGATCGGGAACGGACAGGGATCTGGAACAGACAGGGATCGGGAATCCACAGGGATCGGGAATGTGCAGGAATCAGGAACGGACAGGGATCGGGAATCCGCGGGGATTGGGAATGGACAGGGATTGGGAATGTGCAAGGATAGGGAAGGGACAGGGACTGGGAATGGACAAGGACTGGGAATGGATAGGGATCAGGAATCCGCGGGGATCGGGAATGTGCAGGGATCAGGAATGGACAGGGATTGGGAATGGACAAGGACTGGGAATGGACAGGGATCAGGAATGTGCAGGGATTGGGAATGGACAGGGATTGGGAACATGCAGGGATCGGGAATGGACAGGGATGGGGAATCTGTGGGGATCGGGAACGGACAGGGATCGGGAATGTGCAGGGATCGGGAATGGACAGGGATTGGGAACATGCAGGGATCGGGAACGGACAGGGATCAGGAATCTGTGGGGATCGGGAACAGACAGGGATCGGGAAGGGATTGGGAATGGACAGGGATTGGGAATGTGCAAGGATAGGGAAGGGACAGGGACTGGGAATGGACAGGGATCAGGAATGTGCAGGGATTGGGAATGGACAGGGATTGGGAATGTGCAAGGATAGGGAAGGGACAGGGACTGGGAATGGACAAGGATTGGGAATGGATAGGGATCAGGAATCCGCGGGGATCGGGAATGTGCAGGGATCAGGAATGGACAGGGATTGGGAATGGACAAGGACTGGGAATGGACAGGGATCAGGAATGTGCAGGGATTGGGAATGGACAGGGATTGGGAACATGCAGGGATCAGGAACGGACAGGGATCGGGAATCTGTGGGGATCGGGAACAGACAGGGATCGGGAATGTGCAGGGATCGGGAATGGACAGGGTTTAGGAACCCACAGGGCTCAGGAATCCGCAGGGACTGGGAATCGCTTCCACAGGGATTGGGAATTTCATCCCCCAGCAGGATTGGGAATTCCATTGGGAATCGCATCCCCAAAGAAACCTCCACGGAATTCCTCATCTCCATCATCAGAATTTGGGAATTCCGTGCAGGAGGGATCGGGAGGAGCTGGAAAGAGCAGGAAAATCCCACCAGGAATTCTGAATCCACTTAAATCTGGGGCTCCTCATTCCCAAAATCCCCAAATTCCTCATTTCTGCAGGAAAATCCCTGTTCCCAAGAGAGAAAAAAGCGGATTTCAGGAATGTCAGCGGGCGCGGATTCCCAGCACTCCGGGGGGGTTGAAAGGATTTGGGATTTTGGGAATATTTTGGGAAGAGTCTGAAGCCGCCACTTCCCGCCAAGGGCTGGGCTCCAGGAATTCCAGCCCCAAAATCGGGGATTTTCCAGGGTTTTCCCCCAAAATGGGAAGGGGAGGGCGGGAAAGGAAAATTGGGATGGAATTGGAGGGGAGGGGTGAAGGAAAAGCTGGGAGCGACCCCAAGAAAAAAAAAAAGGGAATTTGGGAGAAAAAGGGAAATTTGGGCTGAGTTTGGAGGGACAGGAACGGTGGAAGAAAAGCTGGGATGTGAAAAAGTGGGAATTTGGGACAAAATGTGAAAAAAAGTAAAATTGGGATGAATTTTGAGGGGGGAGGAGGATGGGAGGGTTCCCAAACGAGGTTAAAAAAGTGGGAATTTGGGATAAAAAACCTGAAATTGGGATGGATTTTGAGGGCCAGGAGCGATGGGAGGAAAATTGGGATGAGTCTAAAAATCGGGAATTCGGGACAAACCCGGCCCCGACGCTTTTGCCGTCGATTTAACGGAGCCCAGCCCTTCCCAGCAGGAATTTTGGGGGAAAATCCTCCAAAAACCCTCCTGGAACAGCAGGAAAAGCAGACTTAGGGAAGGGAAGGCGGCAGAGGGAATTCCCTGGAATTCTGCCGATCCAGGGCAAAAAAAAAACAACCCCGGAATGACAAAAAACCACAAAAAAAGCTCCAAAAAAGCTACCTCAGGTGTGATTACCTCAGCTACGGAATATTCTGATTTTTTTTGGGTTGTTTTCACTTTATTTTGGGGTTTTTTTTTCGGGGGGCTTTTCGCTGATATTTTATATAAGAGGTGCTAACGGGGAAGATTTTATTTTTTTAATGAAAAAGAGAAAAAAAAAAGAGAATTTTTTTGGAAACTTTTTTATGGAAGAATCCGGGCGTTCCGGAGAGAACGCCGGGAATTCTGGACCTAGTGGAAAAGATGGCAGCAGCTTCCTTAGTTTTGATATTTTTATGGAATTTTTGTGCCCTTTCCCAGCTGAGGAATTTCAGCTCTCAGGCATCGTCGCTCTCCAAAAAAAAAAAAATCCGGGAAAATCCCAAATTTGGTTTTCCCAGTGGGAAAAACTTGAATTTTTAAAATTTTTTCCTTTTTTTTTTTTTGAAATTTTAATTTTTTATTTTTTTTCCCGGGGAAAACCCGAACCTGGCGCCGGCTGAAAGGATTTTCCCAATCGGATTCAGCCAAATCTGTGGATTTTTTTTGGGAATTTTTCCACTCCTGGGCAGCGTTTTCTATGCAAAGTGGGGTAAAAAAAAAAGGATTTTGTGCTGGTTTTATTTTCACACTCTCAGAAGCCATAAAGAGATTTTTTTTCTATATTTGATAGAAAATTCCTAAAGATCCCAGAATCCCAAGGCGATCCCGGAATTCCCGGAATTCCAGGGGTTGGTGTCGATCCATCTTCTCCACTATGGTGCTGTGAAATTTAAAATAAAAAATGTAAAAAACCAAAAAAAAAAAAAAAAAAAAAAAAAAAAAGCCCCAAAAAAAATTTTTTTTAAAAAATTTTTTTTTTTTTTGCCTCCGTTTTACCGAGGGGGAAAAAAAAAATTAATTAAAGGAAGACATTAATTAAAGAAAATGAATGAACAAAGCTAATTAAAAAAAAATGATTTTAAAAAAGGGAAGATAATTTTTAAAAAGGAAAAAATAATTTTAAAAAAGGAAAAAAATAATCTAGGAAAAAAAGGAAAAAAAAGTAATTTTAAAAACTGAAAATTTATTTAAAAAAAGGAAAAAATAATTAAAAAAAAAGTTTAAAAAAAGCTTAAAAATATTAAAATTCATTTTTTAAAAAGGAGGAGGAGGGAGAGAAATTAATTAATGAATTCCTTCATTAAGCAGGAGCCAATTTTTATTCCCTACAAACGCACAGGGAGGAGGGAGAGGAGAATTCCTGACCTGAGGGATCGGCCTCTCCCTGCTCCAAAACCTCCACAGGGTGATTGTTCCTGGAGAAATCCCGGATTTTTCAGGACAAAATCCCTTTTTTTCCTTGATGAAATCCATTTTTAAGGTGAAATCCCGGATTTTTCAGGACAAAATCCCTTTTTTTCCTTGTTGAAATCCATTTTTAGGGTGAAATCCCAATTATTTTCCTTGGTGAAATCCCTTTATTTCCTTGATGAAATCCATTTTTAGGGTGAAATCTCTGATTTTTCAGGACAAAATCCCTTTTTTTTCCTTGTTGAAATCCATTTTTAGGGTGAAATCCCAATTATTTTCCTTGGTGAAATCCCTTTATTTCCTTGATGAAATCCATTTTTAGGGTGAAATCCCGATTTTCCTTGGTAAAATCTTTTGTTTTTTTCCTTTTGGTACAATCCCGTTTTTCCCATTGTTTCGGCCCTTCAGGAAAATCCAAATTTTGGCTGAAACATTCAACAAAAAATATTCCAAACCAATCCAATTTTGGTGCTCTTTCCCCCAGTCCCATCAGCCACGATTTCCCCATCCCAAATATTTGGGATTAGGGAATGTGGGATCCCCCTCTTGGCGGGGGGAGCGCTGAGTTTTTATTCCCAAAAAAATTTGGGGTGAAAGGAGCCGGATTTGGGCTCGGCAGCTCCCGTCCCTCGGGGGGCGTTTTCCCGCTTTTCCTTGGAATTTTTGTCAGGGAAAGACGGTTTGGAATACTTGAAACTCCCGTTCCCGGCAAATCCCAACCGCGGGGATCCCAAACTTCCCATCCCAGCGCTAAAAACCGGGAACAGCCATTCCCAAATCCCAACTCGGCGATCTCTGGGAGGATCTGACCCAAAATCCCAAAAATTCGGGGAATCTTTGGTGCTTTTCCTGCCCTTTTCCCATTCCCAGGCGCCATCGGAATTCCGAGGGGGAATTCCCGGAGGGAAATTTCATTTATAGCGAGAGATTTGTGGGAAGGAAGAGACCTCGGAGCATCTCTCGCTTTTCTCTGGAAAAAGCTGGAAAATTGGGAAAAGCAGGAAAATGGGAATGCACGGATCCGGACTGGAATGGAAAAACCAGGAAAAATTCCCCCAGAACAGCAGGAAAATGGGAATGAGACGGATCCGGACTGGAATGGAAAAACCAGGAAAAATTCCCTCAAAGCAGGAAAATGGGAATGAGACGGATCCAGACTGGAATGGAAAAACCAGGAAAAATTCCCTCAAAACAGGAAAATGGGAATGAGACGGATCCGGACTGGAATGGAAAAACCAGGAAAAATCCCCCCAGAACAGCAGGAAAATGGGAATGAGACGGATCCGGACTGGAATGGGAAAACCAGGAAAAATTCCCCCAGAACAGCAGGAAAATGGGAATGAGACGGATCCGGACTGGAATGGAAAAACCAGGAAAAATTCCCAGCTCCACAGGACTCCTCCATCCGCTCCCTTGGTGCCAAGAAATTCAGGGAAAAGCGGAATTTTGGAAAATTGTGGAGTTGGTTTTTCTCTTCTTTAGTTTGGATTTATTTCCTTGGCTCGTTCCCAATTCCTTTTTTTCCTGTCGCCGTTTGTTTTGTCCGGATGGGATCTCGGGATCCCGGGAGGGCACGGATGGAGCCAGCACCCCTGGGAGGTTTTCC